ACTAGGAGCAAGAACGCTACTAGGGGCTCCTGGCATCGCTACTAGGGGCATTCTTACTAGTAACAAGAAGCTAGTAGGCGCAAATGAGGAAATGGTGTCTTTCTTGGTTCGCTCTGTTTGTTCCAAGCCCGATGGATCCATCTCAGTGCAGCACGATGAGTCTTCATGTGTTCCAAGGTGTCCACAGCCTCAAAGAGATTTGCATCTCAAAACGTTTGCATTTGTTCATTGCCTTTTTCTTTCTGCTTCTTGAGCCTTTTGCATTTCTCTTCAGCGTGGTCAACGCAAAAGAAATGAAAGGCCCTCATGACCTCGCATCACCTCGCATCACCTCATGACGTGTTAAGCTACTAGGAACAAGTGCATCGCTACTAGTAACAAGGGCCTTACTACTAGTAACAATATTTGCTATTAGAATTAAGTTTACTTAGAATTTAACTAGAATTTATTAGAATTAGTTTAGTGACTTCCGAGATGTGATGTCTAGTAGCTTCTTGTTACTACTATTAAGGCCATTGCTCCTAGTAGCGATGCACTTGTTCCTAGTAACAAGAAGCTATTAGAAACAAGAAATGACGTGTTAAGCTAAAAGCCCTCATGACGTTGGGGTACGTGTTGGAGAATCCGCTGTATACAAGGCGATGTATGCCAAGTGTACCACGCCTCACCCTCGACATCACCTTCCATCGCAGCAAGCATATCCTGAGACATTTGCGCACACAAACTGCAAACGCTGAGAGGTTTTTAAGCATGGAGCGTCAGAATTGAAAAAGAGAGTGTGTCAGAAACAAGACATCTCTGAGATTGGAGAAGAATAGGAAAAAAAGCCAAAGCCATAAACATAACTTTCCTTCAATCTTGGGCAGTCCATCATAAACTTAGAAGCACACGTCCATGTCAACGTCGCCATCTCCATCAACATCTAAAATACCTCCGGAGCAACTTGACTGGCAAAAACAAACTTTGACAGGTGTAGCTACAGTTATTAGGAGCAAAGGCCATCGCTATTAGGTTGGAGGCCATTGCTAGCAGCTACACCTTCTTGCTGAGCCCATTTTTGACCGCCACACACCCTGGATCACCTGATCACCTGTAGTGGCTGCATACTCTCTTCCATTCCTTGTAGTGAACTAGTGGAGAGTTGAAACAAAGGTGGGACGTGGGACCCTGCAAGCTGTTGAACATTGAGCCGAGCTTATTTGAGCCTATTTGAACCTCCTAAAGCATGCGCTCGGTGTTCAACCCTCTAGACATGGAAGTGGAGAACTCCGTGATTTCTTTTTCTCCGCCGGAGAGAGAGTCATCAACCGAACAAACTTCTCCCGTTCGCCTGCATCCTTTTTCTCCTGTCAACGCGATCTTGCATCGAAACTCGACAACATTACATCCGCAAATCGATGCACTGCAGTGGCACGGGGGAATCACGCATGAGAACGGCACAGTACCTGGTTGAAAACGAGGGGAAGACATTGATTCTTTCATCATAAATCCATAAAGCGGTCACCGGTCACCTACCGCTTTCCGGTGAGAATGTCCACACCGAATGCATCAATGTCTTTCCTTGGCTTCTCACGATAACCCCAAAAATCTAGAGACCAAATGGATAGTGCGTGAGCTATCCTGCGTCCTACCTAGGAGCCTACTTAACCTACTCAAAGAGATGTGTTTTGGTTCGGTTGCACACTTGGCTCGTTGCACACTTTTTGGAACTGCTACATGTAGTCTCGGTCTTTTGAAGCTGGACTTAATCCTAGGCACTACACTCGAAAGTCAAGCTTAAGACAGTATAAGCTTCTGTAGATGTATGTGGATCTAGTTGGAAGCAATGTCAATCTAGTTCATCATGTGGTAATGTGGCAGCTGCCTATGCTTTGCCATGGATCTTCGACGTCCTTGCCCTTTTTGGAAGAAAAAGTGCTTCCTTCTACTCGAACACCTAGAGCACTTTTCCTAAGTAGAATCGGCCTTCAGAGGAATGCACGGAAAAAATCAAAACTGAGAAGCTGGTTTAGCTAAGAGAAAACACTAAAAAATCGCTGTTCCAATAAGAAAGAAGAACGTGGAAGCACGTGGAAGAACGTGTGGCACGTGTTGGCTAGGAGTTTCAGGACGTGATCCATGAGAGAAGTGTTGCAAGCAAGGGCTTCAAGGGTGCAAGTTTGTATTCAACATCACTAGCCCTGCTCCACCCCGAAGCATCTCACCTTCCAATACCTTTCCAAATAGTAGTAAGGCCGCCCCTGGTAGCGTCCTTGCTCCTAGTAGCGATGCCAGGAGCCCCTAGTAGTGTCCTTGCTCCTAGTAGCGATGCCAGGAGCCCCTAGTAGCGTCCTTGCTCCTAGTTTATACTTTAACTTATATATATATTCTGCGGATTTCCATTGGATTGTTGAGATATATTCTGAAAAAAATAACAATATCAACTTCATTGAATTGGCTTGTTGCAATCATTACACCATCAAGAAGCATCCGCAAAAAGGTGAGCAAAAGCAATTAGTGGATAATCAGCCCAATCACCCACTCAAATGCTCTCCACCTACTGCCCCAAGTAGAACCCGTCAGCACCCACCTTACTCTCTCCATCCGCATTGCCCGCTTCAACATCGCTCTTCTCATCCTTTTTCCTAGCAACTTTCGTGAGAGCATGGTGTGGCAAACAAACAAGAACGTCAAGAGTGTCTTCTAATCATGATGTTTAGACATTTGGTCTTGAAACCAAGTGCTTTGTTGTGGAACATGTCGAAATTATCTTTATTGCAAGACTTTTCACCTCTGTTTAAACCATCTGGATGAGACCTCATGTGGGGCTTTGTCAATGTTCTTGTCGCGAGCTCAGGTGTGTCTGCGAAGCATTCCCCCTATTGCTTTTGTCGGGGTCGCCACAACCGCTGCACCCTCTTGGGCCAGTTCTCACGGATGATAATTTTGCATTTTTCTTTGTATGCCCTATTCCAAACTTCCAAACCATTCCTGTATATGCAGGCCTCGTGCATAAACATACCTTCGGGTGTGCAGCCTGTCATATTCCATCGAACTGAACTTTGGGCACTATAGGTGTTTGGTAGATTGCACTTCAGGTAGTGCAATAACAAGGATTTCATGACCAAGAGGCGGAGCTGGAGCTGCCTTGGCTTTCGGCTTCTGGCGCGCCTCAATGGCCAATGCGCAAATGAACTCAGTGTCGTTTGTTGAAATTCAAAGCTGTTGTTACAGCTTGTGCCCAGAATTGTGCTCTTCCTATGATTGCAGAAAACAGACTGTTCCTCAATGATTGAAACTGGGGTTGCTTTTGGCGGCTTTCTTTGACACCCTCGGGCGGGCCTTCCGCTGGTCAAACCAACTCTCAACGAAATCAACAAATACCTCGACCTCAGGTGTTTGAGCGTCACTCAAAGAACCTTCCTCTGACGTGTGAAACGTTATGAATGATGATGTAGAATGTACGTTAGTGTGGAACGTTACGAGTGTGAAACGTTAGTGTGACCTGGTTTGTTCATGTTGCACACTCCAAGACTCTCCCAAAGCATGCTGAGGACTCAGCCTGACTCGGCCTGCAGTCTTTGCGACAAACGCTGTGAATCAAGAACGAGTGACACGCTGTGAAAAGAAAATATACAAATCAGTATTTTTGCATGCTTGCCATCGCTAGTAGGTTGGAGGCCATCGCTAGCACCAAACACCTGATGTGTCGGTCTGTGCCCTGAATGCGTGTCTATGTGTGGGCTCGCCTTTTCTCCTCCTCCGCTTCCGGCTCCGTCATGTTGCATATTGGAAATGCTTGAGCACCAAACCAGTCACGCAAGCAGATTGAACGCGTCAAAACGGGATCAAGCGAGTCAAGTCAAGTGCAATGTTTCAAAGCAGCAATCTTCCTTCCTGGTAGTGACATCAGTGTGACTCAGCTACAGACATGGCTCTGCTGAACGGTAGACTGTGGCATCACCTTTCATGTCCTGAAAGCATCTTCCCAACATTTCTCACACCCATTCACACACCAAAGCTTCTCCTTGAGGATTTTGCAAATAGACCAAGCTCTAGGCTTGACAAATGTTGGAACTGCATCAGACCGTATTGGTATGATGTGCAAATTAAACGGAATAATATGCATCTACTACAATCTACTACAGTATGCATCTCGAGTGTCTCTGTGGGGGAAAGGGCATCGCTACTAGGAGCAAGGACGCTACTAGGGGCTCCTGGCCGTACTACTAGAACAAGAAGCTACTAGGGCCTAAGGGCTCCTGGCATCGCTTCTAGGAGCAAGGACGCTACTAGAGTTTCCCACCTTGGTGAAGAGCCCCGGCTGCGACTGAAAACTTCTTGTGTAACCTCAGCTTTCAGATGCATCTCAGATGAGGCAAGAGAGACGTACACACACAAGAGTGCATCGCTACTAGTAACAAGTGCATCGCTTCTAGTAACAGGTGCCTTACTAGTAGTAACAAGAAGCTACTAGTAACAGGTGCCTTACTAGTAGTAACACTGTGAACTCAGCAAGTCCAGGGCTCAAACCCGATACTTGGATTGTCTGGTCAGTCGGTACGTTTAGAGCATGGAAGGTCAGATTCACCTTCGGAAGAGTCACCTGAAGCAAGCGGCTTTTTGGATAGGTGTGACAGTCACAAAAACAGGACTCAGGCTGACTTAGGTGAAGATAATAAATGCATATAAAAGCAAACCCCAACATATCTCATATCCAAACCTGGCGGTGTGTCTGTCGGTCTGTCTACAGCGCCTGCTTTCGAGTTTCGCTGTCTAGCAAACGAATGAGGAAAGTGGTTGATGTCCCAGACCTTTGGACGAAGCCAAGTCTCATCGAGAAGCGTTTTTGTTTCTTGTTCCATATGTTTGTTCGATGAGATCATCAAAATGATTCCAAATCTGGAGCACCTCTGATTTTAACAGATTGGATCTCGAGTTCGAAGTGACATCAATGTGGCATGAACTTTGGGCACGACATCATGCTGATATGGGCCAGGTGCTTGTCGGTGGCTGCCTCGGGAGGCGTCATTCACACCATTAAGCCGAATCTTCCAATCCGTATCCACAGGATTCCACAGGAACCTAGTAGCGTCCTTGCTCCTAGTAGCGAGGCGATGCCCTTTGTTACTACTAGCTTCTTGTTACTAGTAAGGCCAGGAGCTACTAGTAGCTTCTTGCTCCTAGGCTCCCCTGCCCCATTCTCGGGATTTCGCGCTTCGTATTGCGAGTCGTGCTTGGTAACTGACGCAGCGTGGCTTGGTGTCGCAAGCAAGTCTCAGCAAGTCTCGGCTTGAAACTGGCCTATCTCAAGCTGCAAGTCTCGGCCGTTGTACCTGCCAACCTGGAAGCGATCGTCGGCTATTTAGTGTCTTCAAACATGCAAAAAGTAGGAACGCAGTCAAGTACAGAATCAGCCGGAGGCCATCGCTCTTAAGTTGGAGGCCATCGCAAGTAGGTTGGAGGCCATCGCTAGTAGGTCGGAGGCCATCGCTACTAGGTTGGAGGCCATCGCTCTTAAGTTGGAGGCCATCGCTAGTAGGTTGGAGGAATCAACAGAATCAGTCAAGTACATGTCCTACATTCGGACACGTGCCTGGTCAAAAACTAGCGTTCTTTCATCACCCAGATCTGGTCCTGCGGCTTATTGCGGCTTCCACGAGCAACATGGAATGAACCAGCTTGATGGACCATGTGAATCAACTCATCTGACTTCCAATGCCCACCCAGGTTACCACATGTGTTGTGTCCTGCACCACCCAGGTTACTATTTTCCACCTGGTTTAGGTGCAGCTTCTGAGGGCCATTGCACCTCAAGCAAGAATCATCATAAATCATCACAAGGGTCTTACCCCATGACATTAAAGAAGGAGAAAGAAAAAGAATAAACACAAATTAAGAAAAGGAGAAAGGAGAAAAACCAACAGATAGTAACAAGAAGCTACTAGGAGCTCCTGGCATTACTGCTAGTAGCAAATAGCTACTAGTAACAAGACACCTTACTACTAGTAACAAGTTGTACATTGATTCATTATTGGTGCCGTGTTGGTCTCCGACTCCGAAGCTGCCAAGGTGAAGGCCGCGAACAGGAGGAGCTGGAGAAGCCCGACGACAAAATTGAACAAAATAAGTTGAGCACGCTGAATTCAAAGCACTTGTTACTAGTAGCGATGCACTTGTTCCTAGTAGCTTCTTGTTA